AAGTAGAAATTCAAAGCAAAGTGAGCTTTGACTCAGTACCCAATCTAATAACAATTATCCCCTAGAGATTAGGTATCCACTTGTCAAGCATATACATACACTGACACACCCTATAAGAAATGTAAAATGAACTTTTGACGACCACATAATGTGTTGTTTCCTCAGAATAACACATTGTATATGAAAGGGTAAAAAAATTATTTATTTCAGAGATATACTGATCCAGGATAAGAAGACAGTTCTACAATCTACACCATCACAAAGATCCGTGAGTTTTGCAAAATACCTCTTTTATTTTTTGCCCTTGTAAATTCTTTAGCCTTTTCAACCTCTGCCGCAGCCTTTTTAATAAGTACTTTCTCCTTTTTCTCCAGCATTTCAAGTGTCTACAAATGTACGATTCCAAGAAGAAAAACAATTTTGAACATATTCTCAAATTACTCTGCATACCATGCACCACTAACAGCCAGCTACCGTGGCTGAGAATCAGATAAAACACAAGAATATTCTAAAAATGAATTCAAAATAATTATATTATCACTCCGGCTATGATCATGAAACGTCTACAAGACTAATAGAGCACTACCAACACAAAACAGACAAAATGGGATTTCCTGCTCTCCCAGCCATATTCTAAACAAAGAAAAAGTACTATCTGAAATCTTGAACGACTAATCTCAAGTAAGAACAAACTTAAAAGGTTTGGCTGGGATGTGATGAGATTCATAATATAGCGTACTTTTACATAGGAGTTTCCCTTGGAAAAACGAATCGTTTGTTTGAGGCCTTCAGAATGTCAACACAGAAGGTAACATAGTGGGAAATACAATTACGGGTTGAATTACATTGAGAATAACGCGAATTCCAACATAAATGAACATGATGATCAAATAAACACACTGAAACGAAAATAATAATCGCCGACGAAAAAAATGATAATGATGATTTTTATACCACGGAAAATCCACAGGCAGGTTTTTATCAACAATCAAATCCTACTAACCTCATTTAACTTATCCAAAGTGGTCAGAGCATTGGCTTCCTGTTTAGGTTTACCAAAAATTCGGGTAAACATGGTTGATTATGAGATAAATAAACCCCTATACCCTTCTGCGCACAAAGAATCACGAAATCGATGAGATAAATGAAGAGATTAATTGTTAAATGGATGGTACAGAGAATCGCAGAAATTATATCGAAATCGAACTTATGAAATCGCAAAACGTAAAAGCGAACGAACCTGCTCGAGAATCAGGTTGTGCAGAGAGACTCGGAGAGAATACAATACAGCGATTAGGGCTTGACAAAGAGGGGAAGGGATCTGGGATGAAAGGGAAAGGAGGAGTGACCAGTGGTTGGGATGTCTGGTTAAGTTTCCTATATTTTGCGTAGGGGCGTGGAGATTAAAACAGGAAGCTGCTTTGCCTCTTCCTGACGTCGACGACGAGAACTTGCCCCACCGCGTTGCGCGTTTTGCGTTTTTTTATTTTATTTTTATAATGAATATAATATCAGTTTTTTGGACTGACGAGGAAGATAATTTTATGAAAACCAATCTAATTTCTTTTAATGGCCAGAACAAAAAAAAAAAGCTGCGGGACAGAGTAAGCATTATTATAGAAACCAACTAGGGAAAAAGTCAACATTGCTATGACCAATACTAATTGTGTATTAAAAGGATTCTCCATTATACTATCATAAATTCTTAAAAACTCATTTGACTTTTATTTTGATCTTAAATATAAAATTTTAATTCACTTTGTCTTTCATATTTATCTATTTTTTTTTCCAAAACAATCCTTTTAATAATAATAGTTTTAGCCAATAAACTTGATTAGTAATGATATTTTAGGAAAGACAACACATATTTATTACAGATAACTAACAACTTATTTTTTTAATTTATTCAAATTAATCAACTAGTTCTTATATTTAAAACCGGAAGTAGTATATTGTAATGCCTACTTGCATATAACTTGGATTACTGCATATGCTAATTGTATATGCAAGTAGTAACATGCAAATGGACAAATGAGTATCAATCATATGCAATCATCATGTGGTGTACTACGCAATAACATGCAATAAAAACTTACATACAAGTAAGGATATGTTATAATCAAGTAAGTATTTATCATGAAATTAACATTGGTATTATATAATAAACCTATATGCAAGTAAGCATTCATTGTATACAAGTGAACATGCAGCATATGCAAGTAAACATTGTCGTGTGTAATTAGTCATATGCAAGTGAAGATCCGTCATATATAGTTAGTATTTATATTTATATTATATAATAAATCTATATGCAAGTAGCTATCATGCTCAATTTGTTATATGCAAGTAATAATTGGTTATGTGTAATTAAAATCCATCATGGCAATGGGTTTTTTTTTTTCCCTATCTTACTCACGAGGCCTTCAACTTTACACCTTTACAATTATTATAGGTCTTATTTTCTAATTAATTTGTCAAATGGGAATTTTACATGGAGCAACTATATATATTTTTCATGACATAGATAATAATTTAATTTTTTTAATGATATACAAAATGAAGAAATTAAAAATTATCGCTGAAACTCAATGACGTATTTGATGTGGCTCTCATGCATTTTATATTATATGGTAGTATTAATTTTCTTAAAATTTTTTTGGACAAAATAACATTTAAACTCATTGGATGATTTGACGGTTCTCTCAAAAAATTAAGAAAAGCCTCGCTCCTTCCCATCTGAATAAAAACACACACATGCACCGACGCGCGCGTTGTTAAGAGTGCCAAGGGTGTGCTGTATCCAGAAAAAAGGCCAAAAAAGTGCCAAGGGTGCGCGCTTGTTCGCAGCTGTGATATAAACATATTATCACCTCTTCACTGCATGTTCTTCTCGAGACTGTTCCAAGTTCCAAAAAGTTTGGATTAAGCTGTTCTAGTAATATTTGTTGAAAAAAATGCTTTTATATGTTGATTACCAAGTAATAACTCTAAACTACGGAATGGAAAGACATTTTTATTGTGCGACTGGGTAAAACAAGTACCACGTCTAATTTTACACTACATATTACTCTGGTCGTATTTATAAGAGTTAGTTAACTAATTTGAAAAGATTAACAAAAGAAGTTAAATCAGTTGCTTATAATAAATAGGTGTTGTCTTTCTTAAAATATCTTTACTAATCAAATGTATTAGCTAAAATTATTATTGTTAGAAAGACTATCTTAAAAAAATACATAAATATGAAAGATAAAGTAAATTGAGATTTTATATTTAAGACAAAAAAAAAAGTCAAACAAAGTCTTATATTAATAACCGGAGATAATACATCTTATATTTCAGATCAAAAGTATATCAAAAGCATTATGATATTGGGAACTTCTAAAGATGCTTATGAGATCGTTCACCGGGTGGCCAAAGTTTCGCTAATAAAAGTGTCTCTGACATCCACGGGAGTTGGGAACAGTGGCCTGTGCTTATCAAAAAATAGTGTGTGTCACAGATTGAGTTCTACATCCATTGTTTTTGTTAGGCAGCTTCGAAATTCTACTTTATACATGACTTCCATTCGGTTCAGTGATCATAACACCAACTAAAATGTGCAAAACCAGAGATAGTTCTCAATTCTCAAATTGCAGAGAATAAAAGAATTGCATGATGCCACCTTGGCTGCACATATAGCTTGTCAGCTCTACGACCTACCCACAACATGTTATTAGAATGCAAAATCATACGAGCCAAGTACAGATATGCATGGATGGATATTCTCACTAATATCGTCAATTCAAAACTAGACAATCCACCATATCTCAGCAAGTTCTTGCAGAACTCTTGCTGATGTGTATTTCAGTCAATAAAACAACATATTAACTGACATCAAGCAAAATCAAGGAATTATTTTACGCGAAGTTAGTCATGCAGGTGATCAGTGCAAATGCACCATAATTTAACAGTACTATCAGTTAACCAACATTATGAGCCGGTATTTAATTAAATGAGCAAAAATAAGCAAAAGCCACTAGTCAATTTCACAGCAGGTATAAATTAACTCTCAAAAAATGGATCATAGAACTGGACAAGAGATTCAAATTCATCGTTTAATACATAATCTAAGCTAATAACAAGCTTTAAAAGAAAATGAAGTCATCCTTCAAGCCTTTGATTACTTCTCCGAAGAGTTTGGTCCTCGCTTTTTCCCGAAGCCGACCACTGCAATTGCAAAATACAAAGACCATATTGGGAACCAACAACTAAAAAAGACTAAGACCTATTCTTCTACTAATTTCAATACCAAAAGGAAAAACATAGCGCATTAACCAAGGCATGCAAGTTTTGAATCTCGGAGCCTTAAAAACAAGCCCAAGTTTTGAACATACCGGCAGTGACAAAACGTCTGTTATACTGCATTCGCTTGTACGCACGACCCCTGGGCTTCTTCTTTTTGTCTTGTTTGGCTACTTTTGGCGTTTGGCCTCGAACTTTGCCGGCGCGAGCCAAAGATCCGTGCACCTTACCTACAATTGAACAAATCAATGCAATTAGCAAGTTAGAAGAAGGAGGAGAGAACAGAGCCTCAGTCTGAAGGTAATCACAAGACGGATAGTAACTCACCCATGATGGATTACTGAGTTCACAGCACAGGGACGCAGCGTGTTTGAGTTGAGGACGCGGAAACAGGCGACCAACAGGGACGTTTAGTTAGGGTTAGGGCTAAAATATAAAGAATTTAAGCATTGGGCTTTTCTCATGATCTGCTTGTAATATCTTTGGGGTTTTTTTTTTTTTTTTTTGCCTCATTACCAACTGGGTTTAGCAAAGAAACTAGTCCTTTACGTAAGTTTTTTTTTTTTTGATAGTAAGTCCTTTATGTAAGTTAAAATTTGAATTCGAACAAGAAAAGTTACCCATATTTAGTATTCGACAGTATTTTAAATAAAATTACCTCAAATACGAGGATATCTATCTCTATGTTTTAGCCAGCAAAAAATCTTTAGCTTTTAATAAGGGCACTTGTTAGAAGAATTGTAACATTAACACTTCTGAGCTGATTGAAATTAATTTCAAGTCTAAAGTTACCTGAGATACTCTAAGTTTACATTAAAAAAAAAAAATCTTTCGTTGGCAAAACAGAGTGAATTAAGGATCTTTAAGAACCTCAAATTGCCATACAGATGTCTAGGACCAACCTTTTTTTCCCCTCGATTTAGTTTCTAACTATTACTATTTTATTATTAAGATCGAAATTTTGTTCCACTCCGGGAAACAAAATCGTTAATTATGAGAGATAATATAATGTAAGTTTAAAAATCTGAATAAAATAGAAGTTTATTTTAGGCTTAATACGATTTTTGGTCTATCAAGTTTGTTCTTATTTTAATTTTGTCATCTCAGATTTCAAACATAGGTCTAGTCTTCAAGTTTTTTTTTTTTAAACACTAGTTCTTATAACTCAATAAAAACTTAGATTATTTTATTTATATTTTGAAACTTGAGAGATCAAAACTGAAATGAGGACAAACTTAAGAGATAAAAAATGATATTAATTCTTTATTTTATTTTAAAATAAAGTTAATAATTTAACCATTATGATAAATTGGTTAAAAATACTTTATAATAAAGATTAGAGAGCGGAAGTTTTTAAAAACTTTTAAAAAAGTTTATGAAAGATAATGATATTGGAAGTAATATTTCCACCATTTTCTCATAAACTTCGAATGGAGCAAGAATGTTAGTCAGAAAGACAAAAACAAAGCTTTGTGTGCTCGGCAAGAAAATGAAGCTGGCGGCTGGTCTGGGACGTGTGACTTGTGAGGGAAACATATGATGCTAATCGGATTATTTGCGTAAAAAAGGCGCAACCCGGTTCCTTCATAAAATGCTTCTGTTCTGTTAGGGTTTAAGGAATAAAATATCTGGTCCACTGTGCCTAACAATCTGAGTCCAATCCATCGGCCACATTGCTGAACATCACCGTGTCTTCGAAGACAGCACCAATGGCAGGCCCTTCCGCGCCACCCACGGACCAGTTGGCGGCGACCACTCTCAATGACGCCTTATCATCTCATGTTTCGAAAGCTGAATTCTCGGATCGCGTCCTGATTAGATCCATCATTTCCCGACCGGATGGCGGGTCGGGTCTCTCGGGCCAGAAGGCGAGGGTTGGCGGTTGGGTTAAGACGGGAAGGAAAGCCGACAAGGACGCTTTCGCGTTCTTGGAACTTAATGACGGATCTTGCCCCGGGAACCTGCAGGTGATAGTGGAGGCTTCTTTGGGGGACCTCGGCCAGCTTGTGCCTACCGGCACCTGCGTTGTGGTTGATGGCGAACTCAAGCTGCCTCCTGCTGGTGCAAAGCAGAAGGTGGAACTACGGGCTGAGAAGGTTGTCCATGTTGGTCCTGTGGATCCTGCGAAGTACCCATTACCCAAAATGAGGCTTACCCTTGAGTTTTTGCGAGATTTTGTTCACCTTCGTTCTAGAACTAACACGGTAATTGTTATTGCAAACATTTTTATCACATTCTTGGATATGCACATCCCTAGACATTGATTCTGGCATAAAATGCTTTGTAATATTTAAAACCAAATCATTATGTCTCTAAACCGCGCCATCTTTGATCATGCTAAACAATTAGGGCGAATGCAGAGCCTTGAAAGTGAAAGACTTTCGACATTTCTTGAGAGCGGGGGGGATGGGTTTAGATGTATAAGCTTGGGAGGCGCATACGATTCGTCAATATTGAGTTTTAATTTAATATCTAAGCAAACTGAAGTATTCAGGCAGTATAATCAATGGTTTAAAAACCAACCGTAGATTGAATCGGGGTATAGCATTTCGCTATTGAGTGTTCTCATCCTAACATGTACGCACCCACGTATGTATGTATCTGCATGCATATGCATATATAAACCTTAATATTTACCTCTTTGTGTATTATATTTCCAATTAATTTGGTACTTGCATTGGAGAGTGATTTCTAAATCTAAATATTTGAGCTTATAAGACTTAGTTGAAGTATTTTTCTTATGTTTACAATTTCATATGAAATGGGTGGGATAGAGTCAACCAAATATCATAAATCTCTTATGTAGATAGGCAAAACTAGGGAAGAAAACTCGAATTTTAGTTTTTGATTATTTGTTGTCAAATCAGTCAGTTTTTTGGCGTGAAGCATTTCTGGGTCAACCGGATTGAAACCATGGCTGTCATGCCTAATTGGGCCAGTATCATAAAAATTGGCTGTATTGCAACTTGGGGATTGCGTACTACGTGTGTATATTACGGTGAAGGATGGTTATCAAATGCCATGTGCTTTCTTTTATTACATTTTTCCTGCTAATGTTAACAATTTAACATATGCTGCCTATTGTAAGTCCCTAATGGTTCATCTTTTCAGTATTTTACTTGTTATTAGCATCTATTAATTGGTTATGGTTCCAGATATCTGCCGTTGCTCGAATCCGTAATGCTCTCGCCTATGCAACACATACTTTCTTCCAAAAGCACGGATTTCTTTATGTGCACACGCCCATTATCACTACCAGCGATTGTGAAGGTGCAGGTGAAATGTTTCAAGTTACAACTTTGCTCAGTGAAGCTGAGAAACTGGAGAAGGAATTGCGAGAAAATCCTCCTCCATCAGAAGCCGATATTGAAGCTGCTAGAGTTCTTGTTAAGGAGAAAGGGAATGTTGTTTCCCAATTGAAATCTTCTAAAGCAAGTAAGCAGGAAATTAGTGCTTCCGTGGATGAACTCAAAAAAGCGAAGGAGAGTGTCTCAAAACTTGAAGAGAGATACAAACTTCGACCTGGTATTCCTCAAAAGGATGGGAAGACTGACTATACCCGAGATTTTTTTGCCCGTCAGGCATTCTTGACTGTTTCAGGCCAACTTCAAGTTGAGTCCTATGCATGTGCTCTTAGTAGTGTGTATACCTTTGGGCCAACTTTTCGTGCAGAACATTCCCACACTTCAAGGCATTTGGCAGAATTTTGGATGGTGGAACCTGAAATTGCTTTTGCAGATTTGAAGGTACATGAACTTCAATTCAGCATCTGTATTTTCTTAGTTATGAGAGTAACAATTGTTTTAAGTTATGAAATGGATTGCTATTGTTGTATTTTATCTTTTTCCAAATCTGTTCATCCTAAACATTTCTTGTTGCTGTAGTTGTTACCTTGCCAGCATGCTTCTCTGCTGAGTGACAATTCATATATTCAATTTTAGGTCTTATGAACTTGTGAATTTCCTAATGCAATGTTAAACAGCCCCCTTTTCCCAATCCAATTGCAGTTCTGCATTTTTTGTTGCTTGATAATATTAATGTTCTTGTGTTTCTGTTGCACATTAGGATGATATGAACTGTGCAGAGGCCTATGTGAAATTTTTGTGCCAGTGGTTACTCGATAATTGCTTTGAAGATGTGGAGTTTATGGCAGATAAATTTGATAAGGGGTGCATTGACCGCCTGAAGATGGTTGCTTCCACGCCATTTGTACGTCTTTCATATACTGAAGCAGTGGAAATACTAGAGGAGGCTGTAAAGAGTGGTAAGAAGTTTGATAACGAAGTGAAATGGGGGATTGACTTAGCATCTGAGCATGAAAGGTATATTTTAAGTTTGTTTGTTTGTTTTTTTTTTTTTAACCTTTTCGTTTCTCCTTGATTTGAGGTGAATGATATATTCGCGGCATGATGTTCTGTAGGTATTTAACAGAGGTAAAGTTTCAGAAGCCTGTCGTTGTATATAACTATCCAAAAGAAATAAAAGCATTCTACATGCGCCTCAATGATGACTCAAAGACTGTGGCTGCTATGGATGTTCTTGTACCAAAGGTAATCCAATGTGTTCTGCAGATGTGAATTTCGTTGCAACTGCTACTGGTATTTGGGATGTTGCGATAATAATACACAAATAATTTCAGGTTGGAGAGTTAATTGGTGGAAGCCAAAGGGAAGAGCGTTATGATGTCATCCAGAAGAGGTATGAGAAACATTGCTCTTTGTACCTCCTCACCTTGTCTTGTCTTTTCTGTTAGTATGTGCCCGGTTAATTTACTCCGTTATTTGATATTTTTCGTATTGCAGAATAAAGGAGATGGGTCTGCCTATGGAGCCATATGAGTGGTACCTTGACCTGAGGCGGTATGGGACTGTGAAGCATTCTGGCTTTGGTCTTGGCTTTGAACGGATGATTCTTTTTGCTACAGGCTTGGATAACATTCGAGATGTGATTCCCTTCCCTCGTTACCCAGGCAGAGCAGATCTTTGATTTATTCGATCCTGTTGCAGAAGTAGTTGGATTGAAAGCAGAAATTTAGTTTGAAAATATAATATGCAAATTGGTGTGAGGTAACTCAGCTCATAATGTCATACATGAGTTAGCTCTTTCTTATATAACTATATAACTACATTCTTATGAAGGAATTTTTGTCTGAAAATTGATTCGTAATTGCCCATTTCTTGTGCATTTTACACATCATTACATGTGTAATTGTTAAATTCATAATCATCTTGGCTTGACCGATATAGTGTTCGACTTTGTGCCGAAACATTATTATCTTCCGTCTAATATCTTGCATATCAGAAAGATGAGTTGCCTGACGGCATGGATTCCGCACCTTCGATCACGCTCACTCGCCCTGTTCAAGGAAATCTGTAGTGCCATGTGACGGGCCATACATGAGCTGTCCATTTTTTGAGCAATCTCTATATCGTTGATTCTAAACTTATAAATTCTGCGCTTTCGGAACAGCAGATGAAGGTTGCGTGTTGGAGCCATTTTGTGCAAGTTTCTATTCCACCGCCGGGGGGATTCTTGGATATTGGTGGGGATCCTTTTGTGTCATTTAATTCCAGGAATGCTTGATCATTGTATATGATACAAGCCAGCATACAATTTTTAGCTATCCCAATTTAGCATTTGACTCAAGCTAATGAAAAAGAGAAGGAGATATACAAAGTCAATGTAACATGCCAAACAGGGGTTTCACTCAAAGTTACCTTGTTGGGAAATGGGAATGATCAGCATCAGAGGGTCATTCGTACCAGCTCTAGAAGCCGTGCTCAAGGAGTTCCGGTCAAGGCATAATCAAAACCAAACTGGTTTCCCATCCTTTAGCGGAATAAATGGCGAAGAATGCTCACAAACCTGACTGGATTATTTACTTGTATCATGCGAGCTTACCTCTTCGATGATTCCAATGATTATGCTGTAAGACGTTAGATGATGCTCTCTTGTTTGATTCTAAAAAACCAGAGCCACGAAAGCACGAATCCCTCAGGGTCATTTGGCCACGAGCATGAAGAAACGCACCGCTTGTCACCCGCCAGTTTTGCCTTTCATCGGGTTTAGTGGATGGCTAGGTTGAAAGCCAGCTCCAATGAATTGCAAAAATTCTTCCTCTGGGTATTCCTTAAAAACAGATAAAACCAACACGAGTGAAAAATTGGGCTTTTAGCCTTTATTAGGAGAGCCTCTCGATTTCAACATCACCTTCGAGTAACTAGTACTGTTAGTCCTCAATAGTGAGTGATTAACCTTTTTTGTTTTTTGTTTTTTTGTTTTAACTCATTTGGCTCTCTCAATTGACGTGGTGCCGGTGCCATGCTTTACTCACCATGTCAAATTTCGTGAGTGCCTTATTAAGGCCACGAACGTGTGAGGATTGTGGAATCATTTAGAAGCAGAAGGAGTCAAAGATGAACTTAAAAAAACTTTTTAATTAAATTATAGGACCTGCTTAAAAATTGAGGTAAACTTTAGTGCTATGCGGTTTAATTTTTCCTTTTTGTTCTGGATTGAGAATCATGAAATCAAGGAAATGACAGTGCAGAGTCTTCCGCATTTAGCTGGAGCTGAAATCTGTTCTTACGAAATTTTCCAAGAAATAACTTTTCAGCTTTCTGAAGTGCCAAGTAGGGGATTGGATTGGCAACTCGCAAGTCAGGTTGGGTTCAGAGATGAAGAAGCTCGCAAGAAATTGGCACAATTCTCAACAAAACAAGCTCTCTCTCCCTACTCGCGACGATCCTACTTTTGACGACTTTCGTCCCATGGATACACAAGGTGTCTCTCAAATCTATTTTTTCTCCAATGCAATTTCACTCCCATGATTTTTTTTTCCGGGGAATCTTTCCGATAATGGAGAAATGATTCAAAAAATCATATTATAATTAGTTATCTTTTCATTGGTTATGTATGGTGATTGAGGCTCGATGATTTCGGGAGCTTTACGAGCGATTTCACTCGCTGCTCTTCGAAGAATAAAGAAGGTCTTTTTCCCCAGAGTTGACGGGAAAATTTTCCTTCTTATAAGAATTTGTGTTGCATGTTTAAACTTGGCCATTAAAATTTGCTGTTTTATTTATGATTATGTCACAGAACAAGAAGAGTTGGTTCGGTCGTTTGAAAGGAGTCAAGCTCAGCAGAGTCGCTTATGGAGGGTATGGTTTACTTTCTTATATATCATACTGTCTTTTGTTCATTTCTGTCTTTGAAAAGCTTTACTTTCTTATATATCATACGTTCTTTTGTCTTTGATAAGCTGATATAATTTCATTGAAGTTTAATTTTAAGCTCACCTGAGAAATTCAATTTCATGAAGACGGTATTTGCTGCTCTTCTCTGCTGTTACATCCTCTTTCTTTTGTACTCCATCTTTCAGCAGGCTTCATCTCCATGGGAACTGGTACGTCTCTTCCAGTCCCTTTTTTGGACATCTTAAAATCGGATTTTACGCTTTTGTGTAATTTCTTACGGTAATATCTGAGTGCGAATCCATTGTGTTGTAATATTCAATCTTTCTCACCTGTTAAATTATTACCTTCTTTAAATGCCTTCTGTATTTTGATGAAAATAACTGGCAGCATTCTGCCTCCCTATGCGTCTAGACAAGTGTTGATGTAAACTCTGACCAATATGAATAACTTTTGTTACTTTTTCTTAGTCTTTTAACTTCTTAGGATCGAAGTATCTTTCTAGTTAACGAGAGGATCTGATGAAATTGATACGTGAGACTATATTTTGGATTATTTCAACAGTTTTCTTTGATGAATATTAAATATTTCATTATTTTTCGTTGTCCTCTGATGAACAGAAATACCATGCTTACTTCATGGAGGAGCTTTACCCTTGGATGAGTATATTAGCAGGTTCATTTCACCTTGTATCTAGCATTATTAATGAAAATTTTTAAGTCGCTCATTTTTTTGGGCATGGTCAACTCTTGGTATTCTCTCTAATGATGTTTGCGTTGTCGCTGTGTATTCAATTTCTGTTGCTTTCCTTAGCCTTTTGTACTGATCTATAATGATACACCATGCTCTTAACGAGGCTTTGGCTTACATATGTAAACTTTACCGATCCTAAAACTTTTTTATAGATTGGGTTGCTGTTCTAGCCTGCTCATTTGCAGTCAAGGGGATGCTCCATGAGTCAATGCATCACAGGCGATGGATCTGGTACTCATGGTTTACTGGCCTTGTTCTGGCAATTTTCTGGTTGTATTACATGTTCAGGTATATTCTCGGATAAACGTTGTGCACTGCATATTTATTTCCTTTTTAAGGTATGCATGACATCTATATTAATATCGACTATTTTTTGTAGACTGCCAAAGTTCCGGTGGGATGTAATCTGGCTGCCATTTGGTCCTCTTGGGTATATGTCATGACACTACATGCTCATATGTATTTTATATCATTATATGCATTGACTATGCACATTATAAATTGCTTCGATTCTATACTGCAGTGGAGCGGCAATCTGTCTCTATGTGGATCATTTACTAGCTGAGTCATCAGAAGAGGTGAAAAAGCTCCGGGGATACATATATGCCTACAAAGCAAGCTAGAATTCCTCTTCTGTCTACTTGATCAAAAGCATGGGATTTGAAAAACAGTTTGGAATTTAGAGAACATTTTATGAAGGTCTTCTAATGGATCACGTGGACCGAGCCTACTAGTGTTGTCAGCCATTGGATGGAACCGAGACAAGTTCTTGTATTGATTTTCTGACTGCTCCATTTTTGTTTTCTGCTTCCTGGGTAGGACAAAAGGATCACTGAATAGAGATAGGAACAGACACGATCAAGGACCAAGTTTTTGGAGTTATTATTTACTTCTTCCCGGGGAAATATGCAGTTTGGTAGAGAGGTCAAGAGAGCATTGCTTTGGACCTTTGGTAAGGTAATAACAGTTCGGACGCTGTATCTCATAATGTTATATTTTGTGTAAGCAAACTACTCGATCTATGTCTTGTCTTTTAGTTGCGTGGCTGGTGTCTTAACTCATTCATCATTATAGTAATTGATGTTCTTAGTCTCTATAAAATTATTTTCGTGACACAATTAGCCATGCTTGAGTGCATGTGCCCCTGGACAGAGAACCTATCAAAACTGCGTTGTTCACAGCCTGTGAATATCTTGCTGTATGAAGACCATGTAATGCACGCCCCCCCCCCCACATAGTATGGGGAAATTGGGAGAACCGTGCTGATGAGTAAACTAGCTACAGAGATGAAGCAGACGATTTATTGCTTAATCTAGCTAACTATTGGTATAATAGATTTTGGAAATCAAATTGTCGGGGGAAATGGCAAAGAAAAGATTGTAAGAGATGTCCTAGGGTGGCAGATGAAAATTCCTTTTTAAATCTAGAAAAGTAGCCTCCACTTTTACGACTCGTTTTAATTGCCTAATGTAAAATGTTATCTGCTTGATGAACGAAAGATTTTTTACTCCTCATAACTGGACTTGGCTGGCCATGTTTAATCTGAGTTGCCTATCTTCTTCAGGTCCGTTTTGATAATCTTATTAACACGAGAGTAACCGGTATTGAACTTGGGTAATCGCCTGGAATAGATTATCTACTACTGTCTTCTTTCAATTAGTCAAATGAATCTCGATAAATATAAGGCTAAAAACAAGCAAGCTTGGGTCAATTTAACATCAGGGAACATGCATTGACACGTCCCTACATTTTTTGATGAATTTTAGCAAGTACAAAAAATTATTGTAACAATCCCTTATTTTAAGCTGTAATTAATTATACTTCATCATTCGAGAAGCTATTAATATGCATATTTTCCGTGAGAGGTTCTCTCATTAAGTCGATGGTCTACTGTAACAGTGAACGGGATCATCCAGTTAAACTAAAGTGGAGCCTGAAAAGGAAGCCGGTTGTAACTTTGTTAAGCTTGTAAAGTGGGAAAGAATTTTTGCTTATATATGCTGAGGATATTTGGCACTCCGGATGCAGGAAACCCTTTGGAATTGCGGAACCTGATTCGACGGAGAATCTCTGCAGTCTGCACTAGAGTTTCATGAGCGCACCCTGACAAGAACCCCATTTACAAGGCTTGCTAGCAGCAAATAGCCCTTAAGTTCTGTTTATCCGTTTTCTCTAGATGAGGGGCATTCTGACCGAGCTTGCATTTTTCTTTTATTGTGTGACGGGAAAGAAAACGAACTATTCAAATAGCAAGTGTCATTGTCAAAGTACAAGAGTTTACTTTCAAAATCATTGGAGTTTTGATTAAACTTCCTGACCACCTGAACAGGGCAATCTAAATTATAGAAAGCCATATAAGATGTCTTAACGAAAAGGAGATTAGAAAACCGCATTAACTATAACAAACAAATAAATACCCAAACTGAAGATCAATAAGTAAATGTCTAATGTCCAAAGACTACCATTTGTTTTAACCTTCGAACAAAACGTTTGATAAATCAATCCTCATCTTCAATAACCTTAGTGCCCAACCCTTTGAGCTCTTCTCGGGTGGCGTCAACTACAGTAACCAGGGAATAAAGCTCTTCCTTTGCATCCTCGTCATCGTTCCTCTTGCGAGCAATACGTACCCTAATCCTTCTTGGGACACTTCGGATTCCCTGGCTCCAGACGTACTTGTTCAGCTTCACATCCACTCTCACGTCATTTGTCCCCATAGCTTTCTGGGCAAACTTCCTTATCTCCTTTATTGCTTTAGGAGCTTTCTTCTTAAATGTGCTGTTTACCACAACGACAGATCACGCAATGAATGAGTGAGAATTTTTCACATGAAATTAGATATACAGTTATGATTGTCATTTCAACCGGTTTCCCAATATACATGCCATTTGAAGCCATAACTTACAAACTGCACAAAATGATGACATTTTGGTTAAATTATCCATCAATATCAAAATAGCTTTCAATATGTGTAGGTGACCAACAGCCTCACTTTGCCAATAAGCAAATCAAAGAGCCAAACATAGCCCTCAGCGTAAAAAGAAAAGAAACGAATCTAATGGCAAACCAGGGCATTCCATGAGCATCAGAAGGCAAACCGGGCACAAAGGGAAAGAACTAAAATCAAACCATTTCCTGGGATAAATCAACATTTCGCCTCAATGTCGATGTAAGCTAGTAATTTCTGATATTTGGTCATTGTTATAAGAAGCAAATGAGTTACTAATTTTTACCATTTAAATTAACTGGTAGCCAATCTTAGATAGCTTCGTTTGAGCTAGAATAGTTTAACCAAAGACGCAATGACATAAACTTGCGAATGCCAATAACGAAGAGTATCAACAAGGAACACTTGCTATCTGAATATGACTATGCTACGTAACTCGGCCTCATATGCGGTCTCTAACAGCTACTTAAATAGCTACTGAACCGAAACCACCGGAAATACAAATTATAGTGAGGACCAAAAGGCAAATAAAAAGAGGATAAGAGGTGTAGGGAATAATTACCAGCCATGCAAGCGCTTGTGGAGGTTGATGGTGTACTCTCTGGTGACCACCTCCTCCTTCCTGCCCGTCGTCTTCTCCACCATTGCACTTACCCTTCTCAAGGACCTATTACCTGTGCAGGTCATCCACAAGTTACAGCTATGGTTGCCCAAGAAACTTGGGAGAAAAAGGGAAATTCAAGAAATCAGATTAAACTTCTTTGAGACTTGTTTTATCCAAGGTTCAGATGCATAAACTTGATTTTAAAGAAAAAAGCATAGATGAGAAACAACAATATCCCACATTTCCAGAAATACCAACAGGGAAGAGAACACAAAAATCACAAAAACAGAAAGAGGAAGACCTCCGGAAGGGTTTCGACAGTCAGGCAGGATCTACCAAGGGTGAGGCGGGGGAGGGAGAAAGCGTTCAAATAGAACGCATAAACCCTAATGGCCCGCTTGCATGGCGGATCATGTTTCTCTGGGCCGATGAGTATATGGGCCTTTTTAGCCACTTACTTAAAGTTAAAAGCCCGCCTTGCTTAAAGCTGACTTAGACTAGATCACTAGATAAGTGCAAAATTTGTTTCCATAGCTATTTTATGCGGTAATAAAATTTGAACATAGGAATTTATTTAAGTCCGAACATAAAATATCATTGGTGTTAATTTTTTCTCTACCAGCCAAAAAAAAATACACCCCATGATTTTTCCAATTTTTTTTTTAAAAATTGGTAATTCTGTCAGACAATTTTTTTCATTTTTATATTTGTTTCGTTAGATGCATTCATCTCATATTTTTCTAAAAAAAATCTTTGTTTAACCTTAATTATTACAATAAAAATAAAATCATAGTTTCGTAGTGAAATTTAAAATCAAATGGGCTATGTTTATTATCTAATAATGAAAGCACCATCTATTTCTTGTATAAAATATTGGTTGAGTTGAGATAAGGTGATGGGAAAGAATTGAGATAAGGTAAAAAGTAAAAATAACACTTGTAGAAGATATCAAAAGACAAGAGTATAAAGATACTTTTTAAAGGAAATACATATTACGTATAATGTAATAAAATATTAGCAGCTAATGACTTGAAGAGATTTGGAGAGAAAAAATTATTAGATGACACAAAAATTATTCTTAAACGACCAATAGAGATGGGAATTTTGACGTTATAATTGCAAGAATCCGACGCATATAAATGCAGCTTCTATGTGAACGTAGGCGATCGCAGTGACCCAATGAGGGTCAATTATTCCGCTTTTTTTTTTTTTGGCAGTACAGGATGAGCGACTCAAGTCGAAGGGTCAATTGTTCCTGATCAGTTGTCTTTATATGTTTAGCCCAATCAGCTTATGTATGGCTGATATAAGTAATTTCCCATCAACGTGAATCTAGTTCAGTAGGTCTAATGCATATATTCTCCGTTGCTCTTCTTTAGAAATAAAAAAAAAATTAAGTTGCGCAAGTTGAGATGAAGTAATCATACATACATGATTTTTGTATACATTTGCTATATTCTTAATAACTTAACAAATGATAATAGTTTTTTTTTTAAAATAAAAATAGTCATTTTTGTTACATTAGATGTTAGACTTGACCATAAACCAATAAATTTGAATAGCATGACAATCAGATCCGAACTTATAGAAACCGAAAGAAGACTTTATTATTATATTTTTCCCTTAAGAAAACAACCCCAGTCTAAAATTTGTTGTGCTCAAACGTTCTTTTTTCTCAAGGTAAACACAAGTCTGGAAAAGTAAAAAGAAAATCACAACGAGGTTTCAAACAAGAAAAACAATTAAAAAATAAGTCTACAGGTTGTTATTTTCACTATAGAACTTGTCATTATAGGTTATTGAGGTTGTTATTGGGACTTTTTGATAATTATTTTTCTTCTGTGAGATTTGATTGTAATTCTCTTGAAAATAAATCTTCAACATTCTGAGACCGGAAAAAAAAAAGTTCTAAGCATCTAGAGTGGGACCCAAAGAGGGGATCATTAGAGCAGAGGGCTTCTATGTGTTCCACTATTTACATGACAAACTTTTATATCCGCCATTCCCGCAAGGTGCTGGTCAAAAAAAGCAAAAAGGCAAGGAACAGAAAGAAGCCCGGTCCACCATCACTCATCAGCCGCCCAAGCTACCATATTTTTCCAGTCAAATGCTTTTCCCTCGCCGTATCTCCCATGACTAGAATCTTTTCCCCGTGCTATGCAAGGATCGGTGGGTGTTGCTTGATATGATATTTGAAATACAAAAGCAAAGAACTACATTTATGATGATAAATCATTATATCTATATTTCTAATTGTATAATTTTTTTAATTTATTGAAACGTACTTTGCACGACTTAATTAGAGGGAAGCAAAGCTATTAATTAAAAAAAAACTTTGGGA